GTCAGTGGGCATTTATTTAATGTATCACCACCACAGAGAAGGAATATAACCCAAGGCACTATGGTGTCACTGTTGATATTTTTCTCTGAATACAAACTCAGAATATTGAAACTCAATAGACCTCTGGACTCCATGGGAGATTGACCACAGCACCTTCTAACTACACTGACACTATCTCTTGGCATGAAGATGCTATAAGCTTAAGACTCCTGGGTTCTAGTCCCAGCTCTGCCACTGACCAGCTCAGTGACGCTGATCTGTTTTTGATTCCCATCCCATCTTTGTCTGTCTTGTCTCTTTAAATTGTATGATATTCATGGGCAGGAACCATTTTTTATTATGGGTTTACAAGAGTGCTTAGAACAATGGAGCCCTGGTCTCAGTTAGGGGCTCTAGGCACTACTGTAGTACAAGTATTGAAGAAACTACCGCCATCAAGATGAAATTGCCCATTAGAAAAAGCATTTAAGGTCAAATTCTTCTCTCATTAAAAGGCCCAGTCCATCTCCCACTGAAGACAATGGGAGTTGCACTGGGACTGGGCCCTTACACTGGTGTAAATTAGGAGCATTTCCCCTGAAGTCAGTGAAGTTATACAAGTATAAGATCAGCGTGAGAGAAGAATCAGGCTCCTCCAGTAGAAGAGCTGTACCCAAAAAATACTATTTTGATAATGCACAATATATTTACTTGAGTTTTTATCCGGAAGTCTGTCTATCTTCCACACTACAGCCCTATAGGCACTTTCATATTTTGCTGTTCCAATTGAGACCTGAATTACAGGATCAGATTCAACTTCATGTAAAGAACCAAGGCATGTTTTTCTGTTCATTTTTGCTTTTAGGGACTTCTGTCTTTGGAGATTCATTGTCCAAAGTGCTTTGATCCACTGTGCAGGAACTGGAAAGCGTATCATGACATTTTCACAGTATTTCATGGAATGCAAACGTGCTGGAATCAGAGAAGTAGAAGACATGTTTATAAAAGCCTGAAGTTCAATGTATGCTCCTTGAACAACTACTGCAGCCTTTAAAGAAAATGGAAGGTCTTGCCCATTATACAGTGTCTTGAAACGCATCAGTTCTAATCTACAGGCATCCAGGGGTATAAACTTAATAATTCTAGATTGCTCAAACTCATGTGTTTTGACACACTTATGGAAATGGTAGTCAAGAATATCAATCCATTTCTTCTCCAGGTCCTTGTCAAAATAACATTCATCTCTTTTCTGAAGCTCTAGATCATTTAAAGTAAAAAAGCATTCAGTATTGCCATTCACAAAACACATACAATAAATGTGTGTGATGACAGCACTTTCTACGAGTTTTCCTTCTGTTTTAGTGATTTTCCCCCAAAACTTATCCACTATTTCTAGTATAATTTCTTGTTCCTCATAATTTCTCTTTTGCTTACAGATGGCTGGAAGCTTCATTAACTCTTCCTCAACTGTTGCAAGGAAGTCAGTGAAGTCATTGTAATCCGTGGTTCCTAACTTTAGCATCTGCTCCACCTCTGGTTCATGGACCACTTCTGCTTTGGGGTGGAATTTTCTTTTCTCTGTATAAGACACATATTCAATCTTCACAGTATGGATTTTTCCTGAAACACTACAGTTCTCTAGCTTGGGTTCTGACAGTTTACAGTATGGTTGGAGCTGGAATTCTTTGAAAGGTTTTTCAAGGCCCTTCTCATAGTACATTTGTAAAATGCCCCCAGGTAGGACTTTAAGATAAATAGGACCCCACTGCCGAGATGACATCATATTCTTCTTCTCAGGAATTCTTAGCATGATAGGCCAACCATCTTTTTTTTGGCTCCTGAAGAGACTGTGTGGAATGAAAGAAGAGAGATTATGCCATGCATGTATGCTGGAGGCAGACAGGCTTCCCAAAGTATCAGTTTGCAAATGTTCAAGCCTTTCACAGACATAACTGAAGGAATTCTGATTGAGACTTTTCTGATCATGGCAAGTGTCTTTTTCTTTAGGATGGCAAATACCTCTGCAAAGCTTTTTATCCTTTCTTTGTGTGTCAACATTACAGGGAGACATGCTAGTTGAACACCCCTCTTTCCCAAATAGAGTTGAAAAAGCACAGTCATTCTGAAAATATTGGAAGCGTTCCAATTCCAACTGATCTTCTAATTTATTGCAGCTTTCTTGGTAAGTAGGATTTATTTCACCTGGGGTTGCTTGTTTAGAGAATAAAATCTTAGGTGGATTATCATTAGCTGCAGTGCTCAGTTTCTGAAAAGCTAAGGAAGAACAAGTCCCAGGTGGTGGGTGAAGGTTAATGTTTGATGACAATTCAGGAATAGGATAAAGAATGTGAATTCCTGATTTGGGGGTACAGGGACTTCCTGAATACTCTTTGGTAGGTGTAGAAAGTGGAGAGTTACTAGGAGGTCCAGGATTTAAGTAAAAGTCAGCTATAGGAGAAGAAAGTGGAGTGCTGCTTGTAGAAGATGACCTACTGGAAGATTCATGCATATTAGCAAGATTGAGATTAAGACCATTTGCTTTACAGGTATTACGATTTTCCACTGATTTTTGAGGAGATTGAAAGAGGGGTTCATCATCAAAAGTGACCCAGTTTGCTGGATATGTGGAACACATCTTGTAGGAAAAAACTTGAAACACTTATACAGGTATCACCTCTGAGTCATCTGTTAAGAAATAACACAAAACAAGAACAGACGTGATAAGAAATAAATGCAATTACTTTTGAAAAAAACTTGTAACATTCAAATTTCATAATGCCTACATTTTCATGAGCATCCAGTTTTGGGCATCTCAATTTCTGGATGCACAACTTGAGTCACCTAAGGCTTGATTTTTAAAGTACTGAGCACCCATAGACCTCCAATTGATGTCACAAATTGGGCACCCAAACTTAGCGGACAGCTTTGAACATTTGATCTACACACCCACACACACTGTAAGTGGAGCTGACAGAAATACCTATAGGTAAGGTTGCCTAACGTTTTCCATTATAAGGCTCTGTCATCTTTGGCAAAATAACTGTTTGAGCTGAAATTTTCATGCTGGGTATCTGCCTCATGATGAATTTTTTGGGAAAGTTCAGCAAAAATGGCTCATCTGTTTCCAAGATGGAGGCTAGGGGGGAAATGCATTGCTTTGCCCATGTTAAAAAATTCTTACAACTGTTTTGCTGAGAAGCTATAGCACCTCCATGCTTTGGGGCAGAAACTTACCATTTGGAAGAGGGGCATGTGTGTGGGTGGAGGAAGCTGGGTTCTCTCACCCTATGCCCTTTTTCTGTCTCTGAAATTTCACCCAAATTTGGCTGAGTTATAAGCCTCTGAAATTATAAATTTACATATCTCAGAAGTTTGTTGTGGCTGGCAGAAAAATTCCCTGAACATTCCATCTGTACTGAGCCTGATCTACCCACACAGAGTTCTGTGCCAGCCACAATTCACATGCTCCAACAAGAGGCTGAGCAGAACTCAGGCCAGGGAGACTGATGCCTAGGCAGCATGGAGGAAAAGGAAACAGTCAAACTCAAATGCATATGACTAGGTGCAGAGGGACAGGATGGAAGGGTCCTATGGAGGAAAAAAGTAATTAATGTAATTAAAGACTGTCATATTACATAATCATAAAGGGGCATATTAAGGTTGCACAAGCAACTTGAATTCTGGCATTTCCTAACTTTTGAGTGCTACACTTTACCTTAAAACATTCTTAACATAGGAATGTGTGCATGGAGGGTGTGTGTGCTATATATAATTTTATTTACAAACAATTAAAAGTTCTGCTCACTCCACGAGACTTTTGTGCTGGCTCTTTTCCTGATTATGGTTGTTGGTAATAGCAGTAGGGAGAAACACGTCCAAAGTGTGGGGGGAAACATATTATTCTTGCCCTTTGCACCTGTGATGTCAAAAGCCAGCTTTGAAGGAAATACTAGGCTTTGTCCCCACATAAGTTTAGTATCCATGCCTTCTTGTTCTTCAAAACAGTTAAGAATAAATAAACTTAAGCAAAACTACACGAAAGTAACACTGAAGCATTCAGAACAAATTGTGGTGTTACAAAGTATCTTCATTGTCTATGCTATGGTGAGCCAATTTTTCCCAAACCACATAAAGTTTTCTATTCTGTAAGTACTGTAAATAGATATGGTCACCTTAGGGCTTCTTACCATCAGGATGTACACGTTGTTAGCAAGATATGACTGAAAATTCCACATCCAATTTGTTTTGTGGTTGTCTGAAATGGTTCACATTAGATTTGCTTTTGTAGTAGAGGCATGGAATGGACATTTCAGAAGCATAAATACATAGAATCATAGAATCATAGAATC